AAAAAGCATTATATTATAAGTATTGGAACATTGTCATCATTGTTAGTCTTAGTTCACCTTTTGAAAAACTAAGCAGGGCATTTCCTGCATAAAAAGTACATTGCTATGATAAGTCTATTGGTGATATTGATGTGCCCACGCCATGATCAGTCTTGCACATGTAAACTAAACAGGATAAACCAAATTACCTCGTTGCAACAGTTACTCCATTTTTACTTGGAACCCATTGCGACATGAACAGAAGGAGCTGATGGGAATATTTAATGAAAGCAAGCAACCAAACAAAAACAAAAGCAGGAAGCTCCCCTTTTAATTAACTAAGTTGTGTTAATGGGGTTTTTAAAAACGTAAATAAAAGATATAGTATATTTTAATTAACAGACAAAACACGGTTTTGAATGGTTAGAAAACATACGATTTATTGTGTTCTATTAATCTGTACATCTGTGATCCTGAAAGCTGTGAAGCAAATGCAGGATTTTGTACATTTGACTGTAACTTCTCACATGAAGAAGCTGCAGTGAGCATGTAGCACATCTCTGTGATTGGCCAAAATATAGATGACGTATTTTGGCGTCGCGCCACTTAACCAGATCTTGCCGTGGGACGTGGCGGGTCCGCTTTGCCACTCAGCGAGCGTACGCAGATGCGAGGTTGGTTTCATCGCCGACTGCTTGTTGTGTGTGTGTGTGTGTGTGTGTGTGTGTGTGTGTGTGTGTGTGTGTGTGTGTGTGTGTGTGTGTGTGTGTGTGTGTATGTGTACGTGTACAACTTTGAGGAGGAGCTAAATTTATGAAACAAGAATTCCTGAGATTGTTTATAAAAGATAAGCATCTTTGTCATAGGCCCCATAGTTTGTCACAATTTCAGTAAAGTATCAAAAAGCATAAAAAAAGCATCAAGCAAACAAACAAGAACAAAGGGATAAAAATGAAAAATGGTTGGGGGAGGGGGATGGGGGTACTGTGGATGAGAAGGGAGAAAGGAAAATAAACCTGAAAATCAACACACAAAACGAAGAAATTTGTTTAATGATTTTAAGAGGCAAGATGTTCACCGATCGAACTCATGAAGTAGGCTGTCCAGTCATTGGATATCGCAACGATGGTTACAGTGTAGTACTAGTAGTTAGTCTAACACGTTGTCAATGGGCGACATTATATGAATTACAAAATTTCCAGACAAGTAAGGACTAGTTGTACTATGAGATCAACTCAAGAAGTGAACTTTTCGTGGTGACACACCGTCTTGCTTTACTGTACTTTACAATTTCTTAACTTAATGGCTTGATGTTACGATCTTTTACAGCTGTCCTTGCCTCTCTTCTTATTGATATTAAACGACAACAAAAGTAACAAATTCTTTCTCTGTCATCTGGGTCCTTGAAATGCGACGACTGGTGCTGTGCAAAGAGAGTCACATAACCTCTTTCTCGGAAGTGTTTTATAAATAATTATTAGTCTTGTCAGATTGTTCCATTCTCACCAATTTGACTTCTCTCTCCCTCTCTCTTTCTCCCCCTCTTCTCTCTTTCTCTTCCTCTTTCTCCCATCCCTTCTCTCTCTCTCTCTCTCTCTCTCTCTCTCTCTCTCTCTCTCTTTCACTCTCTCACTCTCTCACTCTCTCTCAAAATGGTCATGTCTGAATGCTCACCCCCTCCCCCCTTTACACTTTTAATTAGCGCTGAGACACTTAGACTAGGAAAAAAGCAATTACACATACCAAAGAGACAATACTACCAATATAGACAATATCAACTACCAATACCTGCTTTAAAGTACTATGCAGTTCGGGACGTGACGGGTGGCTCATGTCAAGCCACGTGGTATGGGGTACTGACCAGCTCAACAGAACCTCAGTCTCAGCAGTTGGACTTTGCCTTAATTCAGCAACACTGAATGACCGACCTCAAGGGCCTTGCCAAGAGGGGGAACCTTAGGGATGTTAGGCGCCTCATGTTTGTGGTCAATGTGGGCATTGGACGCGGCGGAATTTTTTGGTCCAACCACCAACGTTCTGGGATCCCCTGGGTGTGGGCCCTACAGCCAACGAGCTTGTCGTTGGCTCACCACCCTTGCAACGGCAGGCATATATGCTCCGTCATGTGCCTAAGCTATCCGCTGCAAACGTGTGGGGATGTGTGTGGTGTTGTCGCCGTCATAGCCGCCGTCATTGCTGGCAGCAGTGAGGAATTGTACCAGCTGCTGACAGGCCCCCAGTCTTTGACTGTGAGAACTTACCTGCACAGTCCGACTCAGTACGCTCGCTACTTAAGGCGTATACTTATATGCTGGCACGCTATTGAAAGAGGTCAACATCAAGTTCTTGCTGCCTGCATCTCAGGTCCCTGACAGAGCACACCAGCTGCAAGGTTGGAAGCGAAAGGCAGTACCCCACCAACATCACCTCCTAGTCGTAAGCGAGCACCACCAGCCGTTCAGCAGCAGACACAATGGGGCTCCGGCCAGCAGATGCCAAGAGGAACCGACAAGACGAGGGGAATGGACTAGACGCACACAACAGGGATGGGCGAGATAACACAGACGGATAAGACGCACACAAGGATGGGCGAGACAACGCGGACGGATAAGACGCACACAACAAGTGGGCGAGACAACGGAGAAGTGACTGCTCTATATTGTTTACCCCATACTGGCCATGGCAAAGACTTGTGCCATCTAAAATTATCAGCTGGCCTGCGCTGCTACATTGCTGCCAAGCTAGCTGCCGGAGTTAGTGAGGTCAAAATCCTCAGTGATATGAGAGAAGGGGTGGATTCAATTGACAGGGACACTGTAGTTCTTCTGAAAGATATACAGAACATCAAAAAGAACTTAAAAAAAGGGGGGAACTATCCAATTATTTTCTTAAAACTTCAAGGCGAATGTAGTTAATAATTAAGGTATAGATGATTTTTTTTACTTTGCCCTCAATATCCATTCCAAAGAGAAATTATGAGGAAAAACTGTTTTGACTGTATCTATGGATTCAACACAATCCACAACACAATATAGATATCCGTTGATATCTGTTGTTGTAGCTGATGCATCGGGCGAGGGGGTTCCTGTTGCATTTGCGATTTGTAACAAGGAAGAAGTTCTGTTTTAGAAATTTTTCTCCGGGCTCTAAAAACAGCTAAATGCTTTATGAGTGATTTAGCGCCTTCATTTTATAATGCCTGGTGTGCAGTCTTTCCAAAGCCGGATCAAAGATTATACAGTGGAATCCTGTTATAACGAGAGGGAGGGACCGATATGAAACATCTGTTATAGCAGGATTCTCGTTAAAAAGGATCCAGTAATAAATTCAAAGGAAATAGTGCAGTAGACCGAATCTATGAGTCTGGTTGTCTGTTCGTTTTTTTTCGTAATCTCCCCTGACGATGATTTGGTTCAACATGATCTCTATGGTCTCTTATTTGATCAAAAATCGAATACGGTTTCTTTCTCTAGCGCCAGCGATGTTGACAGCTCGGCGCCGGCGATCAGAAATAAAGTTCTCTAGGCAAACTCGTCCCCCACCCCACCACAACCTGTGGTGCGTTCCGTCTGCTTGCGCATGCCACACATTCGCCCCATCCATCACAGTCACATCGTTGTGACCTCTCCATCCCCGCATCGGAGAAGTGAGAGGCGTGGTAGGCCTAGATAATCTAGACTAGGCTGGCCTATCACGCGATGCGTTCTGCTTGTTTGTGCATACCACAACCTCCCCACTCATTCGCTCCGCCTTCAGTGTTGGCACGCATGTGCTCTCCCATTCTTTGTTTCGCAAGATAACCAACAACTAGCGAGGTTTTGCAAGAATAAATGGCCTATGTGCTGTGCACAGCAATAGCAATATTCCGCTATAACCGACTGGCATGTTTGATTGCACTATAGCAGTTTTTTTATTTACAAACAGAAAGAAGGGAAAAAACGGGGTTTTAGAATAGGGTCTTTATAACAGACTTCTCGTTATTTCAGGACTCGCTATAAGTGGATTCCACTGTATTGCACGTGGCACGTAGACAGAGCTTTGGGTAAGAAAAGACAGGAGCTCGTGTCGAAAGACATGCAAGACGAAGTCCACAAAATGCTGTGTGTCTTTTGAGAGATGAAGTAGATGTACATAAATTTCGCAAACTCGTAGGAGCATTTGAAGAGTACGGTGCTCAGAAGTTCCCTTTATTTAGATCTAACGATTATTTTAATAAGGAATACGTCAAAGAAGACAAAAGCATGCTTATTGCATAGGGGTTACCATCTATCACAAACATGTATGTTGAGGCGTTTCGTCGCATTCTTAAAATTAACTATTTAAATAAAAAGCAAAATAAACGAGTGGATGAGTTATTGCATGTGCTGCTAAAGTTAACTAGAGATTTCTTTTTTGAGCAGTTACGTAAAGAGATATTCGGGAAAGTGACCAGCTGACAGCGTGACATTCTAAGAGGGCATAAGCATGCAAAACATGTTGACTTAGGTAAGGTATTGGAAAACAGTCATGAATGGGTTATTCCCTCAGCAAATCGAAAAGGTGTAAATTATTTTTTCTTCTAAAAATGAATCTTTTCTTGACTGCAGATGTAAAATGAAATGCCTAGACTGCGGTGTCTGTGTCCATAGGTTCTCCTGCATATGTGCAGATTTTCTTACCAGGAATCTAGCATGCAAACACATATACATGCGGTTCACATGTTCCTGCTTAAGAAACCCCCTTGCGACACACTATGGAGGAGGAATTTGGTTACACAGTAGCGGAGGCCCATAGTGACACAGTAGATTCTATTTCTATTCAAAATGGATAAGTTACACACTCAAGCATTGCTAGCAATAAATAATCTAATAGACTTTTCTAATCACACAAAAAGTGCTGAGGCAGTAAAAAGTATATTATTAGATAGTGTCACTTCAGCTTTGTCTGTTGCTAAAGGGTATGAAGCTATAACTTATAAGTGACGAACCGAGAGTTAATTTTGAAATAAAAGAACATTTTAAAAGGCAACAAACACATTCAGAATCAAACAAGAATTTATTCGACTTAGAAAAACCCAGGTAGAAGCCTCTATATTTCAGCCTATACTATCACAGAGATGTGCTACATGCTCACTGTAGCTTCCAGCGGTACTTCTCGGCCTTGGTTACACAGTTCAGGGGCAGATGCCACTGTAGATTTTAAGAAAAAGGAAGGGATTTTGTCAGTTCATAATAAAGTAACAAGTGTACGATTAACAATTAAAAAACAACGAAGATGGCAATGTTGCCATTGATTTGTGAATAACAATATTGGTTATATAATATGCATACATGTTTGTATTTTCAAAGAAATAAATTAATTTTGTTATCTTTGGAAAACAACAAACATCCCAAAAATTAATACATACACACATGTACAAAGTACAAACACAAATACACTGAAATACACACACACACACACACACTCACACTTTGAATTCCCAAGTTATCCACTCACTCAAATAATAGTAATGCAAGCGTGACCTTTTTCTCTGTACTCACTAAAGTTGTTTCAGGTCTCCATAATTGTTTTGTCCGAGACAGGTCATCTGAGCCAGGCAGTTGGGGATCGTGATGACGTCACCGGCTTGGTACACTCTGCCATCGAAGAGACATCCTGTTGAAAAAAGCAGAGAAACAAAACATTTCATTTGAACAAATTTTAAAGTAGGTGTTTTTACGGCGACATCCCTCACGTATTAGAATCATGTACAAGGCAGCTTCCACCCCTGCCTGTAAAGAGATACGACATCCCAGCAGAAAGGACGAGTTACTCATTAAACATTATATCCGCTCTAATAGTATAAGAGTACTGCTTAATCATTCTTCGAAATAAAACTGATATATTTTTAAAATCTGTGGTCCTTTCCATGAATTCTTTAAAATGTTAGCGGGTTGATTTTAGGAGTGATAAACCCAGTGTAAACGTGCAAACACAGTGGATTCGCCTTCCCCGCCTTGGGGGGGGGGGGGGGGGGGGGGGTGTATCTGCCTCGCCTCTCTTTTTTTGGCGAATGTTGTTTTTAATCAACAACAACAAAAAAATGCGTCGCGCGCGTTACGCGCGTTACAGTGAGTTCACCTTTCGTCCCTTTCGCTTCACTCGCTCATGCTGAAAAAAAAAAGAAAGTGAGGAATGGTCAACTAAGGTCTGCCTTTAACTTTAACTTTAAATTTCATTCGCCTTCATTCGCCTCGCTTGTTCCCACTGCGTACGTAGTGGTATTGTTCAGTGTTGTCTGGCATCCTTTTAGAAAATTTGTTGGGTTTTTTTTTACGTAAGGTCCTCTTATCAAGGAGAAGTCTGAATGCAACAGCTTTCATTAATTTTTTTAGAGAAGATATTTTTTTAAAATCGTCATTTCTAAGAATATTATCCACAAAATGACGATAATTATAATAAGTAAACGTTTCTCTGAGTTCATCGATTCTATGAACCTAATAATATCAACATGAAATTTGACATTGTCGTTTTAATTAATGCAGCAACACCAGCTTCACAGAGCAATAAAAGGAAAGGATGAGGGCAGGGGTGAAGCTGACTTGTTTGACAGGTTAATCAAAGTGAAACGGGACCAGATAAGGCCTGTAGATATCACACAAGAATCATCATCTTAGGCTACTCGAGGCGGCGACTCTGAGTTGTGAATGAAAACAAATCCGAAATTCATATTGTATGTTCAAACGCCAAAATAATCGGGAACTTTAGATGTGAATACATAAACACAAAGCAAAGAAGCAGAAATGTCACTGGTAGATCTATAACATATAGATCTACCAGTAAGTCTAACTCTTTGGTAGAACATGACAATTATCTTTTTTTTAAATTTCTCATTTGGCTGTTTTTGTTAACCTTTCGCGGCCAGGAGCTGGTGTCATAATCGAGGTCACGATATAGGATGGTAAAAAGTCGAGGAAAAAAACCAAGCACACGCAGCAGTCAAGAGATTATTAGGAGTTAGTTCCCCTCACATTTGTGAGGTAGACTCGACCAGGACTTGAGATTGATTATAACTGTGGCCCCAAAGGGGTGAACAGGATATATGTGGCAATGAAACAGCTTGGACTGCTATGTACATGTTCCCTTCAACTCTACCAAGCTTACTTAATCAAAGCTTGCGACTGCTTATGGTGGCCCGAGAGGGGTGAGGAGGCTATTTCTGTGGCCGTGAAACTGTTTTGAATGTTAGGCATACTGTTCATTGTTGATTACGAACGTCTTTTTACATTTAATTTAAGAGGTTTACGTTTAAGGATGAATTTGACAGCGACCATGTTTCAAAATTAGAAAGGGAAGCAGTGATTATTTGATTATATAGACGCTTCGCCCCCTGGATGAGGGGAGGAGGGCGAATCTACTCTGTCGCTTCAGGTCCCCTTCACATTAGCCTCCCTTTTCTCACATTTTTTTAAGCTGACGAAAGGGGGGGTAGTAAGGCCGATCTACAGTGTTTGTACCTTAATAATTTTCTCGTTCGTTTTTTTTTATTTTTTTACCCGAAATTGTGTCTAACAGTATTGTATCTGTTCCCACAATGGCGCCCTATCGCAGGAGAAAAACAAACTTGGACAAGAAACTGTCACAAGAGTTCAGACAAATAGGCGTTTCTGCTCATCGTGCGTGTGTGATTGTTTTTTTTTAAATTTGCACGATTTGTGGTTTCCCATACATCTGGGCCTGTACAGGACACGTCGGTCCATTTACCTACCGCGTTTATCCCCTATACGGGCGTTTAGGCAGGACAAATCTGTATGCACATCAATCTGGTTAGCCTATCCTATACGGATTTTCGCGTTTAATGTGTCTTCTACGAAGAAACAGGAATTTCAGGGACAGAACTATCCCTTCGACACCTATGACGACAGAGAAGTGTTTCGCAAGTTCCAATTTTGTCGGGAGATAAAACATTTGAATAGTCGCTTATGATGGGTTGACAATGGCACTGGCGCTGGTCTGGCCCTCCTCCCGTTTTCACCTCGTCTCTCTTTTTTTTGAGAACCGACGCTTTCAGTACTCTCTTTTTCTCTTTTAAATCCGTTACAGTTCGCATTGCCGCGCCTGCATGCGTTCACCTTCGATGTTACTATTCTCTGCCATATCCCTTTCTTCATCTCACTGGTTACGGTCGCGCTGTGGCTGCTGAAAAGGGTCACATTTTCTACTTGCAGCTCTTCAAGTAGTATTTGCTTTCTTCAGCACTGAAGTTAGCTGTTTTGACCCTTTTCACAACTTTCTCCGCCATGGTGCACAGTTCATAAACTCCTACGTGTAGTTGGAAACCGAATGTCCGAAGGCACAGACTGACATCGGAGCGGATTTGCCAAGTAATCTATAAATAATCTCATCTTGCGCCACTGGTCTTGCCACGCTATTATCAACTGAGCTCCATGATAATATTTTTTTAACTGTGGCATTATCATACCAAAGACTGTATCATAAGACTGCTAACTAAATTGGAATTGCAACTGTTGAGAATTATTTTTTTAAGTTTCGTTCTGAACAATAATTTTACAAATATTGTCCCTGCATATATAATACCCTATTGCGAAGCTAAAGGTCTTGGTCGAATAATCACCGTCTTTTTCACATTAAATATTGGCGTTTTATCCCCCCCCCCCCCCGGTCACCTCATCGACAAAATTTTGATCTTTTAAAAGCTAGCTTCGACCCAGTTCCCACTTGGAAATCGAACTCAGGTCTTCTCTGTGTGATGAAGAGGCGCTTAGGTACTTCATTAAAGGAGCCAGTAAACTGTTTTGAAAGAGAAGGGCTATGATAGTAATAAAGTAATTATAACAGTTCACGTCTGGGTTTTTTTTCCTTGATAAGTCGTGTCTTATTGGTGTAAAAACTTTTGTATACCTAAGAAAATAGAGTACAAGCACGCATTTTATTTAAACAAACACAATTGTTTTAAAAAGCTATGTGTACTCCTTTTTTTTCAAATGCGTTCAACAACGAAAGTCTCTCAAACTCGAGTCAGCGGTGGTGTGTGCTCTGGTGTGGCTTGCTCCTTCTTTCATATCAAACACCTATCGTCCTGATCTTCCTCCTCCTTCTCTTTTGCCTTGGTTACTCTTTTGTAGCACTTCTAAACTTCGGCACTTAAAACTCAAACTCGGTACCAACCTTCAAAGTCGCTCGCAGCAGCAGCCAGGCATACGATCATGGCAAGAAGAAAAAGTTTGGTGAACATGATGGAAGTTGTTTTTTTGGTTGTTGTTTACAGATCGTTGACCCCGTGGAGACTGACAACTCGAGGTAGAACAGTGCTGGTTTTATATACCATCAAACCCCACGTGGTACTCTTCGTGATTTTAGAGAAGGTCTGTGTCTTATCTGTTTCCTGCGATTTCGTTACAAAATCACTTCAGATCAGAAACCTACTTCTTAATCGTTGTAATTCTGAGTTTCATGTATCAGGCCATGCTTTTTGGATGTGGAAGCAGAAACTTGTTTTTAAATTTTACTTGTCCAGCTAACTGTACCCTTCCCCCTCCCTACACACACACACACACACACACACACACACACACACAGAGAGAGAGAGAGAGAGAGAGAGAGTGGCAATCGCCATCACAAATGTCAGAAGAGAGCACAAAATCAAGTAATTACTGCTACTCTTCATTACTTTAGGAAGATTGACGAAGACAAATTTCCCATTGAGGTACGTAGTAGATCTTATGGATTTGAATAGACGCGCTTGAATTCACAAATGAAACGACTGCGAAATGCTGAGTGTTTCATTGCCACACAAAATACCCCCCCCCCCTTTTCGGGCCACCCTCATTTTAAGCTGGTACAAGCACTGATCATAACTCGGTACCTCAGACTGATTGTCTACCTAAAGTTTTAAAAAAGGGGGAGCGTGGAACTAATTCCCAATATATTCCTCGCAGTAGTCGCAGCAGTGTAAGTGTGTGACTTATTTACTAGAAATTTTAAAGACCCATAACAAAGGTCCTATACATACAGGTAGATGTGTCTTTGCTTTTAAATATTGGTGTGATTGACGCAATGCTTGATCAGACACATTTGAAACCAAATTGGTAATAGTAATAGTATTGTCATCTATCCTTCACGAACTTCTGTTTGTGTATCAACAATTATAATTGTTACATTTATTACAATTATTTTAAAATCCTGAGACCAAATGCCTACCGCAGGTTAAAAAGTGTTTTTTTTTTTTTTTTTTACAATTTAGCCCAAATTATTAATATTAAATATTTTCCCAATGATTTTGGCGGGTGTAAATTGGGGATATGTTTTTATTCTCAACTTGATAAATGCTGTCTTAAAATAAGTTAAAAAAGAAATAGCCTTTTGTCAATTATTATGCCTATTATATTTTTTGTCTCACTCTGATTGCTCTGTCAAACAAGTCACCCCTCTGAATAATAATAATACTGTTTCCCGCAATTTACCGATCGGCGTAGTCTTAAGATTGCGCTGTGCATTTTAACGTTCGTATAATTTCGCGGCAATCTGAAAGATTACGTTAATTTTATATTTTTGAAATACATGTATTTTTTTCTAAAATTCACTTCCATTTTCATTAATTTACTCACACCAAGGGACATTCACATATATTTTCAAAAGTGTAAAAATATGAAAATTAAAATTAAAATTAAATCAAGACTTCACAAGACTCATACAAGTATACGATCGTTAAAACGCGCAGCGCAAAGCGTCGATCGGTAAATAGCGCGGAACACTTATGTATTATGAATTTGTAAAACATAAAACAGTCAAAGTTATTACTCAAAATTCGTTCAATTTCCAACATTTTGATTGCTGTTCAACACACTATTTTCGTTCATACTAAAACGTTACCGGCAACGTTTAGGGACCCCCCCCCCTCCCCAATTCCCTTAAAAAGTGAATAATAAAAAAGAACATTAAAAAAATAAACAAAGTAAAGTGAAACAGAAGTAGGAATAAAAAATCAAATTTTGAGAATAAAAAATTCAATGAAAATGATGATACAGATAAATGAAAAATGAATAAACACATAAACGAATAAATAAAAAGAAAACAAAGAAAGAAAGAGAAGAAAAACTGGAGAGTTACAATTTTGCCCTTCGGTTGACGAGGTGTCTTACATAGGGCAA